AGCAGGAAAAGGGCTGAACAAAGTTGAACCATTTCCTTTACTGCAGGGTTTTTAGAACTTTTAATTGGTCAAATAAATTTTAATATTTAGTGTTTCTACAGTTTGTTAGACCATGGAAATTTTTTTAAACAAAAGGCTATCATTCTACAGTAATACACTTTGAGACCATGCCACCTCCAGCCCAGGTATAGATTCTTCACTAAAGTGAGAGGGTAGGAGCATGGCTTTGGAGTCAGACAAAATGAGTGTGAGTCCTTGATCTACCTCCTTGAAGCTGTGTGACCTCAGATAAGTTTATTAAACTGTCTGAGCCTCAGTTTCCTCATCTATAAAATGGGGCTAAAGCTAGTACCTACTTCATACTGCTGTGAGGATAAAAACAAATAATGCACGTAAGGTTCTTACCAAAGCACACAGCACATAGGAAGCATTAGCTATATTTAATTCATTTCATTTAATTATCTATTTACTCAATTCATTTAATTATCTATCAACTTATATCTATGGTTACAAGATTTTTCATTTTCAGATATTTTGTTCTGATTGATCACTGACTGATCATCGAGAGTGGTTTTATGAACCTTTCTCCTCAAAGTCAAAGGTAAGAATTATGAAATGTTTCAAGCTTTAAAACATGCTAACATCCTTATTTACAGATACCTCTTACCAAGGCAGAAGTTTTCACTTAAACCAACAATCATCCTTAGAAACAGAACTATAAATGGAAAAACAGTTGTTGAACTGAATAAGCAGCTCTTCTTAGCCACAGTGAGTGTCCTTCCACAATCCGTGCTAAATTGAGCCTCGCCTAGACTCTCCAATCTCAGCAAAGCAGGACGGAATGTGAGACATCCAAGGAGATGCAGAAGGACGCTTGTACAAAGACTCCTCTAAACACCCTCAAAACCCAGCATCAAGAAGTGAGCAAGCCTATTTTAAGCAATCTTAGAAGATGCAAAGTGGATTCTTGGGATGCAGAGCAAGCCAACAAGCCTATCAGAGAACCAGGTCTAGGACTGTCTACTTATTGTTCTCCTGCCCAGAGGAACACTGTAATAGTTCCCTACAGCTGCCATAACAAACTGCCACAAACTGGGTGGCTTCAAACAACAGAATTTTACTTTCTCACAGTCATGAAAGCCACAAGTCTGAAATCAAGATTTCGGCACGGCTGTGTTCCCTCCAAAGGCTCTAAGGGAAAAGGCCTCCTTGCCTCTCCCCGCCTCTGATGGCCCCAGGCATTCCTCGGCTCAGGGCCACATCGCTCCAGTCTCTGCCTCTGTCTTCACATGGCCTTCTCCCCGCCCTCCGCGCCCCCCCCCCCGTGTTTGTGTGTCTCAAATCTCTTTCTCTTATAACGACACCTGTCACTGGAATTGAGTTCCCCCACTGAGTCCAGGATGATCTCTTCTCGAAATCCTTAACTAATTATATCTGCAAAGACCCTTTTTCCAAATAAGATCAAATTCACAAATTCCAGGCTTAGGACTGTGACATGTCTTTTTTGGACACCACTACTCAACCCACTACAAAGAAGATTACAGACCTTAAAATTACAAGCCTTGGGCTTCCCTGGTGGCACAGTGGTTAAGAATCCTGCCAATGCAGGGGACACAGGTTCAAGCCCTGGTCCAGGAAGATCCCATATGCTGCAGAGCAACTAAGCCCGTGTGCCACAACGACTGAGCCTCTGCTCTAGAGCCTGCGAGCCACAACTACTGAGCCCTCGTGCCACAACTACTGAAGCCCGCGCGCCTAGAGCCCGTGCTCTGCAACTAGAGAAGCCACCGCAATGAGAAGCCCATGCACCGGAAAGAAGAGTAGCCCCCGCTCACTGCAACTAGAGAAAGCCCGCGTGCAGCAGTGAAGACCCAACACAGCCAAAAAAAAAGTCAATTTAATTTAAAAAGGTACAAGCCTTGCGATGGCTAATTTCACGTGTCAGCTTGGCTGGGCCACAGGGATGCCTAGACATTGGGTTGAACGTTCTTTTGGGTGTGTCTTTGAGGGTGTTTTCCGATGAGATTACCATCTGAATGGGTAGACTGAAGGAAAAAGACGGCCCTCTGCAATGTGGGTGGGCCTCATCCAGTCGGTTGAAGACATGAACAGAACAAAAAGCCTGACTTTCCTGCAAGTAGGAGGGGACTCCTTCTGCCTGCTGACCTGGACATCAGCCTTTCCCTGCCTTCAGATTCAAACTGAAACACTGGCTCTTCCTGGGCGCGAGCCTACTGGCATTCGGACTGGAACTTACACCGTCAGCTCTCCTGGGGCTCCACCTTTGCCGGCCGGCAGCAGGCCATGGGACCTCCCATCCTGCATACTCTCCTGGGCCAATTCCTCATAATATATATCTATATATAAAATATATGTACATACACATATCCTGTTAGTTCTGTTTCTCTAGAGAAACCTTACTAATCCAAGCCTCACATCTGGATAACTGAGAAGGCAGAGGTGCTCGGGTCCTGGCCTGGCTGAGTGGCCCCCGAAGCTGGGTGGCCACCAGAATCTGGGGGAGGGTCTTCCCGTGCAACTCTTGCAAAAGTCATGGTTACCAGATCAGAATGTCAAGAAAGCCAGTAATAGGTTACTGAGAACAACTTCCAATAATTTACAAAGCTTAATGGAATTAACGTTTTCCTCCTAAGGGGCCACTCGAGCTAACTAAAATGTCACGTTTCTCTGCTTTTTAACTGGAATTATATCAGTCCAACGTGGTAACAATGATTTTCTCACACTCATCAGAAAATGCTTAACGGCAGTTCTGTATGTTTTCAGTTCATGGAAATGAGAAGATGAATTATTCCTTAATAAAGGCAGTTTAGTAGATTAAAAAAATATTTCAAAACATGGATTCCACGGAGAGAATTAAAGTCTGAATGGCATTTCTGCTCTAAGCTTTATCCCTGAATTGAGTTAGCGCAGCAGAAATCTACCTACATAACTTGGTAGTACAACCTTTCCTGAACTACAGTTAAAACACGACATCCTCAGTTTTTACCCAGAATCGGTTTAAGAAATGGCCATAGGAAGAACATTCCAGCACCTTATATAAAACTCATATTTACTGAAAATATCTCCCTTACATTGTTCATGTCCTTTACATAAAATTATGCTTCAGCAACAGGAAAAAGTTCGCCTCCTTTTACCAAAAAGATGCTTATTTCTGCAGATTATGTAAACCATAGTCCTTTCTGCCTTGGCTACCAGGAAGCTCAAATGTATTTGTCTCACTTGCATCCATCACCCTTATTTTCTTATTTCTACGATCATTATTTCCCCTGCACTTCCCACTTCCCCCCAAATTAATGATTCTTTTTTATTTGTCCCCTTTCAAAATGATCCATTTGTATTTATGCTTTTGGTCGTAATCCGTCTCAAGTCCTGTTTGGGGAAACAGGCTGAGCTGTGAATCACATAACCCAGATTCGTGGAGGGAGAGCAAGGTCTCCACTTGTCCCACCAGCTGTCTACCCTTTGAAACAGGCGCCTTTGAGCTCTCGCCTCTGTGCCGTGGGGCCTGAGCAGCTTTCCTGTTGGCTTTCCCCATGACCGCGCTGCAGACCTTGCACATGGAGCCATTATGTTTACCGATGCCCCAAGGACCCACGCTCTAAGAAACAGGAGTCCTCCAGCAGGCAGTCCAGAGGCCACCTATTCCTGCCTCTACGGCGAGCCCCCGTCTGGGCCGCTGGCTGCCTGGGCAGATTTCAGGAACTGGACCCAACACTGCAGATGCTGCTGGGAAGAGAAATGGCAGGGAGGAGCAGCCCTGACCCGGGCCAGCTGTGCGCCCTACACACATCACTCGCGAACGACGATACCAAAAACAGTAGTAAGACAGGCTACGCCTCTGCGACAGGCCTCCAAATACATGGTCACTTCTCCTTACGGCAGCCGCCCACGGCACTCATTACTCCTGTTTGGGAGATGAGGGGAGCTCTGAGCCTGCGTTCCTGTAAAGGTACCACTGGCTGGAGGTGAACAGCCTCTACATGCATGCAAAGGACTCGTAAGCTAAAGTCCTTACAGGCTCCTGGGAACAGCAAACGTGACCCCTGTAATATCAATCATTCAATCAACAAAGCTACGAAAACTCTGACAGACTGGACAAAAGTGATTTCCACCCATCCCAGGCATGTCCCTTCTTCCGACATCAGTGGACTCTGGCTGGATGAACACGCTTTCGTTAATATGACCAGAACGGACTCTGTTACCTCGTCCCCATCAATTCTCCCAGAGGCGGGGTGCTCGTTCATATATATTAAAAAGTCAGTGATAAATCAACATGGGTATATTGACCACCTTGGTAAAGAACAGAGGTGAGAAAGCATCCATTTCAAACCGTCCCAGGTTGCTCAGGGCCAAAGGCCAGGCCTTCCTGCCCACTTCCTGTGCAAGGATGCCGAGTGTCCCTCACAAAATACTGGCTCTTCTGTTGTTGTTTCTGGAAAACAAAGGCTTCTTTCCAAGACTCCCCCCCACCCCCGCCACGGTTAATATCTGTGCTCAGGACTCCGTGTCCCTGGACGCATTACTGTGGGTTCGTCCAGGTTGGAGATCTTGATGTGATTTCCTCCCCATCTTCCCGGTCTCTCCGGACCCCGCTGAGTTATGATCCAAACCCCCATCGGCCTCCACCAGCCTGGAGGATGCTGACCGACCCCACCCCATGCCTCAGTCTTCCTCCCCACCCACCCCTGCCGCCAGGACGTGGCTGTCTGCAAACGTGGTTTACTCCCATTGTAGTCACTTCCCAAGCCCATTAAAAAGAGGGGAAAACGCCACTGGACTCAGCGCTAGCCCTGCAGACTGCCCCATCTGGTCCTCACCACCATGCTCCTTTCTCACCCCAGGAACTGGGTCTAACCCGCCCCTGGAATCGGCATCCCACCCGGCATACCAAGTTATATCCTCCTCTCGTGGTTACAACACCCCCTTGGGAGGCCAATCACAAGCCGTTGCGGTCTGTGAGTACAAAGGAGATCTGGGGCCCTGCGGCTGAGCCCACAGAGGATGCCAGAACGGTCCACCTGTGTGGAGTCCGGGGCCTAGACAGTACTGGGAAAAGTTCCTTCCATTACATCTGATGCTCATCAGGGCCACCACCTGGTTTTGCTCCCTGGACCGGCATTTTCCCAGACAGAATCTGTGCTGTGCTGTGCTAATGGGCTGCTACTTGACACAGTATTTAATCCGTGCTGGGTTGTCTGGGTGTGTGCCTTCTTCCTGTTGTGCCCTTGGCTGTAGACTCTGGGGGCTCTGATGGTTTCTGAGCCCTTCAGGGTCTCTCCACAGACTCCCTTCCTCTGGGAGCTCCATCAGTTGTTGGCTGCCTATTCCGTCAGGAGGGAAGGTGACTGGGGAACTAGGAATTGAGATTACACATATAAATGTTTGAGAACACAGACATGGTAATAAAATCCTGTGTTTCCATAGCACTAGTCAAGAACTGGATTCTTACAACAACCTTCTAAGAAAAACAGGGCAGCTGTTACTAAGCCCACATCACAGATGAGGAAACTGAGGCTCCAGAAGATGAGGTGACATCCCCAAATCGCACAGTAAGCGAGTGCAGAACCAAGGCAGAAGCCCAGTCTTCCGAGGACTCAACTGATGCAGTGTCTACCACCCTATGCCTCCAAAATAAAAGGGAAGGAGGGGAAGAAACAACCGAAGGGTCCATCAACAGGTGAATGCATAAAGAAGATCATATTATATATATATAAGCACACACACACACGCGCATATAATGGGATATCATTCAACCATGAGAAAGAAAGAAACCCTGACATCTGCAGCACCATGGCTGGACCTGGAGCACGTTATGCCAGGTGAGTGAGTCGCAAGGAAAGAAAAGTACTGTATGACGTCACCTACACATGGAATCTAAAAAGCCAAACTTGATAAAACAAGGAGAAAATGGTGGCTACCAGGCAATGGGGGTGGAGGGATAGGACAGATGCTATTTAAGGGTACAAACTTGCAGCAGGTAGTAAATGAGCCCTAGAGATCTAATGCACAGCAGAGTGAACACACACAGCAACAGTGTTTCATAACCATCAAAGTGGCTAAGAGTCCGGAATTCAGTGATTCCAGCCACTAAAAAGAAAGGATAATTATGTAACATGACGGAGAGGCTAGTTATCGCTACAGTGGCAATCATATCACAATCTATGAGTGTATCAAATTAACATGTTGTACACCTAAAATTTACACAAGGTCATACGTCAAATATATTTAAATGATAAAAACAGAAATGCAAAAAAGAAAAAGAAGGAAGGCGACTCAGAGATGGCTGCGTCATGACACGTCCTTGTTCTAGTCACCTCAACTGCAAATCCAAGTGCAGGTCCCTCCTAAACGATGGATGGTAAGTTCCAATAGGCTTAGTGTATGGGGGCACATGAGCTCTGAGGGCAGGTGTGTCACGTAAGGAAAACTATGCTCCCGCAGGCATGAGCTTGTGGAAGGACAAGCAGAGTGACCAGCGCTACTTGGGGGCTGAGACTGTGAATAAGGTGGAGGAGGAGGTGACAGAGAGAGAGGTGCGGTCAGATGTTCCAAGAAGAGAGAGGGAGGCTAGGACACGGCATCAGGAGAGAGGTGGAAGGGAGAGGGAAGGAGGGACGGACGAGCATGAGGGCGCGGAAGGATGGAAGAGC